AGATGAGGACAGGCCAGGTAACCAAAGACACGAGCTCTAGCCAGGCTCTAGCTGTGACTTGTGGGACAAGTTCCTTGACCACTCTGGATCTTGGGCTCCCTTGGACAGCACCGAATATGACCTGCTCTACCTCTTCTGTGTGTTACTGACAAAATCAAATGAGATGGTAATAAGAGTTTTGAAAAACAAAAAACACTATTCAAAGCCAAAGTGCTAGAATGAACTTTTTATAAAAGCCTGAAGATCAGGATTCAAGCAAAAAAGGATTTTTAAGTTTTACTATTTAATGATAAAGTCAAGTGTCAGAAGTGTGGCAGTACATCACAGTTGAGTACAGTGAGCACAACTTGTTTTATATCTAAGAGCCACTTCTCTCCTCCCAAGCGCATAGAACCCCTCTCCTCTCTCACTGGTTCAGAATTGCATCATGCATTTGGAGGGTGTTATGGAGCACCTGCTACTCATCAGGGACCATGAGACAGGCCTCTCTCCATCTGCCTGGATCTACTCCAACCCAGGAGGAGAATTCTGCTTGGTCTCAATCGGCCGTGGCGATCCTGTTCCATTTTGCCAGGGACTTGCAAGGGATGGGCCTATGTCCCACCTGGCCTACCTCTGCCCTGCCTTTCCTACTGGTGTGAGGATACAATGCACAAAGAGGTAGCATTCCTCTTGCAGCCACAAGACTGAACGCAAGTACACAAGGGAAATACAGAAGTTCGGAAAGAGAAGGATCCTTGAGGATGCCACTGCGCTCTCACACTCGCCCCCGCCCAGCTCCTGTGTAGAAGAGATAACCAAATATTGTTAATGCTTGAACCACTGTTACTTACAGTCAATCGCATTTGCAAATTGGTGCAACCTCTGAGGAATAGAACTTGGCAATGTATTTCTATTTTGAATGTGTATACCCTTTGACTCAGTAATTCTACTTAGCAGAATTTCTCCTGCACATATACTCTCACAGTGCTCAAATTGCTATATTTCAATATAAGAATTACAATATTATGTATGTAACAATATGGTTAGATAGATTATGGTTTATCCATAAAATGGAACACACATTACTTTATAAGGACAGATGCAGGGCTAAAGGTGTAGGGAAAGTGGGAAGGGTAGGGGAAAGGAAATAAGGGAAAAGAAAAAATATGAGAAAATGAAAAAAATGGAAATAAAGTTTTTGTAAATAAGGAAGGGAGGAGGGGGTGAAGGGACGGCAGGGGTAAGGGGTAAAAATGAGAACCAAGACCTGTCATGTAAAGGCACAAGATCCCAATGATGAATGTAACTCTACTGTATACCTAAAATTTACCAATAAACTCAATGAGAAAATAAATAAATAAAAGGACAGGTGCAGGTTCAGGTTCAGATATACTAGCAAATTATATTCTAGCTATAGTGAGGGAAAGAAATAAGATTAATAATGGCTGAACCTGGAAGACAGGCACATAGAGATTTGTCATGCCATTTTTTCTTATAAATGTATTGTGAGGATTTCAAATTTTCCAAAATAAAAAAAATTTAGAGACAAAGAGCGGGAACTGCAACATGATTAGTATAACATCATTTGTAAATACGTGGTTTTCAAAGAAAACACATACACAAAGGTTAGGGGAAAAATCAAGATATGATATGTATATGTACCAACACTCCATGATGAACATATTCATTATGTATGTCAAATAAATGCTAACAAAAAATTTTTAAAGAATAAAAGGCAACTGGTGATGGCCAGTAATGTCAAAACAAACAGGTTAAAACAGAGTAACTAATAAGACATTTCTGAGACACTTAAGGAAATCTAACGAAGACTAGGTCCTTTGTGATGTTAAGAAATTGCTATTGTGTGATAATGGTTTGGTGGTTATATAAAAATTCTTATTTTAGGAAATACTAAAGTATTTGAGATGGAATTCATGCTTGCAATTGGTTTTGAAATGTTTTTGCCCCAAATTAAGCAAATAAATCAGCAGATGCACAAAAGAATTGTTATGTGTGTGTGAGAGGTATATTCATTATGCTATTATTTACCTTTCTGTATGTTTGACATTTTCATTTAAAATGTTTTAATAATGAACAGGGCTGTGAACTGGGGATGTTGCCATGGATAAAAGAGACCCTGTATGGTCTTTGGGGAGCAGGTCTCCATTAAGAAGTCTTTTTCTTTTCATTAAGTTTATTGGTACTTTTTAGGTATACAGGATAGTTACATTCATCATTGGGATCTTGTACCTTAACAAGATGTATCTTGGTTCTTATTTTTTCCCCATTCCCCTGCCCTCCCTTCACCCCCTCCACCCTTCCCTATGTACAGACTTTATTTTCATTTTTTCCTTTTTCTCATTTTTTTCCTTTCTTTCCTTTCCCCTACCCTTCCCACTTCCCCTACTCCTTTAGCCCTTTTCTTCCTGTTTCACATTATCAATTATACAATTTGAACCTTATTTACACTTTCAGTTTTTCACACCAGAGAAACTATTCAGTATTTACACATGTATGTTGTATTTATTTCACTTGAGTATGGCCTCAATGTGCATCCATTTAGCTATAAATGTCTCCAGTTTCTTATTCTTTATGGCTGAGTAGTACTCCATTTTATAGAAAAATCACATATTCTTTATCTACTCTCCAGTTGATGGGAAATTGGGCTGCTTCCAAGTTTTAGCTATTACAAACTGTGCTGCTATAAACATAGGTGCACATGTATCACTGTGGTATGATTCTTTCAATTCTTTTGGAAAGATATCCAGCAGAGGGATGCTGGGTCAAATGGGACTTCTAATCCTAGTTCTCTGAAGTATCTCCATATTGATTTCCACAGAGGTTGCACCAGCCTGCACTCCCACCAACAATGGAGAAGGGATCCTTTCTCCCCACAACCCCGCCAACATTTGTTATTAGCTGATTTCTATCAAGAAATTCTCTCTGGGTTGAAGTGGAATCTCAGTGTTGTTTTCATCTGCATCTCTCAAATGGCCATTGTTGTTGAACATTTTTTCATATATTTATTTACTGTTTTTACTTGATTGAGAAATATCTGTTCATTTCAAATGCCCATTTTTGAATCAGGTCTTTGTATTTGGGGAGTCTGGGGGCTTTTTTGTGTTTTTGTTGTTGCTGTTGTTTATGTAGTCTAGATAGTAGACCTTTGTCTGAGGAGCAGCTGGTAAAACAATTTTCCCACATTGTAGGTTGTCTCAGCTCTGGTGGTGGTTTCTCTTGCAGTGCAGAAGCTTTCTATTAGGAAGTCTCAAATGCAATAATGGCTGCCTCCAGGACAGGTGTGAATCTGCTTTTCTGGGTTCTTTTCACACCCTCATCACTGAACGTGTATTTTCCCAAGTTGTTCAGGTCTGCTATCACTGTAGCCTGGTGCATTAACCTAACACAAGTCAAAACTCAGCTCTGGCTGTGGGCTGCCCCCAGGATCCCATTCAGCAAACTATTCCTGGGCACATCCACAGGTGTTTGGCAGAGTGAAGGTAAGAGGACATCAAAAGTGTCGTCCTGACTCCTCTTCCCCATTTACAACCTAGGGGAGGAGAGTGAACAGGCCCCTGATGGAGCCAGGGTGGTGGAATTGGCAGGAAGAGCAACCAGGCCAGGCCCCCTCAGTGATGGAGAGAGAGCCGGGTGGGATGGGGAGATCAGCCTGTGGAGGGATGGAGGAGTCACCAGGCAAAGCAGAAGCCTCTGCAGAGTGGACGTGCATGCCCTAGCTCAGGCGTGGGCAAACTTCATCCGTAAAGGGCCAGATGGCAAATGCTTTAGGTTTGGCTGGCCAAAAGGCAGAATTGGGATATTTTGTAGGGACTTATGTGCAAGAAGGAAACGTTTCTCAAAAATGTGGACAAAATTCAAATCTTTATTTGTAGACACTGAAATGTAAATTTTCTATAATTTTCACATATCAGAACTGGTCCCTGTCTCCTGTCAGATCACTTAAGTGTGTAAAATCCATTTCTAGCTCGTGGGTTGAACTTGGTACAGTCTGCATCCTCCTACCTAACACCGTCACTGGTTTGTTTTTAGGACCACTCTCAGCTGTAGGACCGAATGGGACTCGGTAGTCGTTGGTACTGGGGTCCCTGGCCCACCTCCACCGCTGCGGGCTGGGGACCGTCATTTAACCTCCCTGATCTGTCTCCTCACTGTGGAACCCAAGGATAAAGCCACCTTATTTACAGACTAAGGTGAGGGAAACACCGCCACGTAGGGGACATCCTCCTTTTTACAAAGGAAATGCCAGCTTGAGGATGACACGGATTCCGGAGCCTCCGCACCACGGGCGCTGCTACTCTTGGAGTCGGGACGCGCGTCTCCGGGGTGCCAGCCGAAGACCTCCCTCTTGAACCTGTTTCTAGTGCTCCAGAGCAGGGGTGGGGAGACCCGCACCCTCTCCACTGATTCCGAGTGAGGGCATTGGGCCCACAGCGGCCGCTCCCTGTAACCCGGGGGTCGCTGGCGTGCAGCGCCGTCGGGGTTGAGCGCTGTGGAAGCCGCAGCCCGCTGTCCCAGCTC